TGACAATATTCATAATGTCCTCAATACTTTGAAGGGAGTAGATAGGAGCACTGTTATCCCTCTTGTAGTACACAGATTGTGCTGTTTCATTTAGCTCCCTCGGCAAGTTCTTCAAGAACCATGGATGCTTTCTTATCTCACTTATCGTTATCCTCTTTCAGGGAAGAAAAAAAAAATCCACGTTAGCAATCTTTTTGATGACATGGATGACCAATTTTCAGTATGAATGTGGTTGAAGAATGAGTTGTTGGATTTGGATCTCATAAGTAGAATAAGCCATTCTAAGTAGGGTTGTAAGCTACCAATGTAAACAGCTCGATATTTATATTTATATTCCTTTATTTATAAAATATATATATAGTACTGAACTGACATGATTCTCTGTATTTCAAAAAAATTCAAAGATGGAAAATTTTAAAGGTAAGGGAAGGCGGTTCACAAGACCCATTGACGAAGCACCTCATTAATGGGTATGCCAAGACCCACGGGTTATACGAATTACCGGAAAACATAAATGACACGACAACACAGTGAAGGCTGGAGAGTTTACCCCAATAGTTTTTCTGAAATTCCTGGGATCATCTGGTTCCTCAAAAGGATAAGCACCCACCAGCATAACATACAAAGTTACCCCACAGGACCATACATCTGCAAGCTGAAAGAACAGAAGTCCAAGTAAATTTGAGGGTAATTACATAGCGGGCAGATCATTTTAATCAAATCATTAATCCCAACTTTGAAGTCCGTTTGGGACAGTTTTATCACAATTTTATCTTTTAAACAGCTGCCATAATTCTATTTAATTAATTTCTATTAATTTTTGAAAAAATTTATATTAAGAACAAATTTTTATAATTAGATATACTAAGTGTAACAATCATAAGCAAACTATTGTCCACCTTTTTAAAAAAAGAACAAGATTATAATACCACCAACAAGGCAACTTTCAAAACAGAACAAGAGTGCATAAAATGTCCCATAAATGCAAAAGTAAAATTTGGGAACTTATTAAAACCCCAAATATGTTTTGCAATTAAGCTTTTGAACTGAGCAGGATTTGTTTTCTTTTAACGAAAGGAATCACTACCAAAGTGGAGAAAGCATCCAGTCAACTAATGACTTGAACATGAAAGCTAGAATCAGAATAAATTAAATGAAGATTAATTGAACGCAAACAACTTTACCAAAAAAAAGGGCCTTGCTACCAAACTTGGGATTTAACCAAAGGAATTATGCTCCAAATCGGAGCTAACTTCAAATAAAAATGACAGCCGGTAATATGATACTTTTTCTTCGCCTGGAACCAATTTGGCGTAAGCTAAAAGGTCCCCCATTGCCACGCCATTCTGCTTCTTGAACCACACCAAGCAAGGCAATTACAAGCATGGCCCAGTATATGGAATATGGAAAAAAATTTCTGTGCGGATCCCGGACGGCGTCCGGAGACCAACCAAATGCGTCATATCACTTTTTTACTCGGCACCGGTGCTCGGGACCACTCGGTACTGGGTGATGTGGAACGTTCTGGTTGGTCTCCGAACCATCCAGTATCAGCACAGAATAATTTCTCCATTATATGACACCCACCTGCGTTATTAATGCACATGTCATGTATTGTTCTCATGGGTTGCTTAAAGATAGGTGTGTTGTGTCCAGTATGTGATTGGGGCTTGCATGGCCATGTTGACGCATGCTATGTTGTACATATATCAAACATTATATATTTTGATATTATAAAATTATGGTGCATCATAGTAGCCAACCAAGGGGAAGATTTCCCAGATGCTCATGTGGGCTGAAATCCCGGATTTGACTAGGGGAGGGCACAATTCAATTTGATTTCAAACTGACCAATGTTTGGAATTTAACTAAATTCTAGAACTACACACCGAAATAAACACATTGAAGTAGGAAAAATAACTGAATTGAACCGATAGGAGTAGTTTGGCTCCAATTTGTTTTTGCAATAAACTTATATATATACAAACAAATAAATGTGATCTCATTGTTTTTTATTTACTAAGCATTCCACCATTAAATTGAATACCAAAACATAAACATATAGAAAAATAACAATAAAGTTTTCGCATATCTAAGATGTGTTTATAAATTAGACGGATGATTGACGCATATTAATGTGCATTCTAAATATTCATTTGGGATAACTTTCCACTGCTTTCTAAAGCAGCTTTCTAGTACAAATTTTTTTAAAAAAAATATATATATACTAAAAACTGTTTTATAAAACAGTACAAAAGCTGTCCCGAACAAAACCTAAATCTATTATTTATTTGCTAAATTGGTTGGGTCAATTTTTTATTTTGTTTTGACAAATAGTCAAAGCTGAACCAAATCAAACTATCTTCCATTTTATTAGGCTTTTTAGTTTAACCGAGTTTTTTTCATCCATCACTAGATTTAACTTAGCATTCATAGGGGCTCCCCACATAACCTCACAAATCACTTCATGAAGCATATTTCTTTAAACAAATCAATAATCAATCGAAACAACCGAGAAACGTGGATAAAGTGAATTGGATTGGCAGGAGAATTGGGAAAGATACCACGTGGTATTAGAAGTTATTAGGAAAAGGATTGGAATGGAGTTATGTCACATTAAAAGTAGACTTGACACCTTTGAGTCGCTACCATTAGTTATCTCCCCACTATAACCGATTTAGCCAAATAATTTAATTTGTTTTATTGTTTGATAACTTATTTTTTAATTTTATATTAATCTTTTTTACTTCAAAAGTTATATATATTACTAAAAGTATAAATATGGCGTGAAATATTAAACAAATAGTTTGACTGATGGATTAAAAAATTAAATTAGATATTAACATTTGATGACGAACAAATTAAAAAATACTAGATGTATGATTAAAAATCTTATTTTCTCTTAAAATTAATACTTGATAAAGAATATCATACAACCAGATAGATAAATATGCAAAAAAAAAAAAAAACTGACTGAGCTATATAATTAATTAGTCTCAATTATCTTGCAAGCTTGATAAAGAATAAAAAGATTTTAAAACTCAGATCATGTTCAAATTTGACTGAACTAGATAATAAAATAAAAAATAAACTATATAATAATCAATTCGACTGATCTAAGCCCAGAGGGATGATTGACTCATGATGCACACATGCGAGTATCCCTGAATGCTCATTTTAGTAGCAGAGTTAGGCAGATAAGAATATTTCTAAATTAAAAGGACTTAAAAGGGACACAACAATGGCCTAAAAGTTGGCAGCGGCTCCCCGACAGGTCAAATTCCACCAGCTACTCCACAAAACCAAACGAAAATCTCAATTTATAATACGACAATTTGAATTTGCTATGGTGCCACGCATCATCATTATCAGAGAGCCGCATGGAAATCGGAGGTCAAAACTGTAAACTCAAAATTTGCAAAAAAATAAAATTTTAGCTCACCTTGCCGTCGTACTCCCGGCGAGAGAGAACCTCCGGCGCAATATAAGCCGGCGTACCCACCGTGGACTTCGGCCTCGAATGCAGCAGCGACGACTGCTCAAAAGAGTTGCAGTATTTTAAAAAAAAGGATTTCGAGAGCGAGATTGCGATATTTTACATTAATCAATGAAGTAAAATGAGACCTTCGAGTAGCCGAAATCACAGATTTTGAGCCTTGGAGCAGGGCTTCCGTCCAGAAGAGTGTTCTCAAGCTTTAGATCACGGTGACAGATTTGCTGAAATAGGGACAATTAGATCTGATTAATTCATCATTCAAAAAAAAATACAAAAATAATTGTAGTTTTAATTACCATGAAATGGCAGTAGCTGACGCCCGAGATGAGCTGCTGGAAGAAATACCTTGCCTGCGCAAGGATGCGAAAATACTTAATAATATAGTGACTGCTTTGATTGAAATAATAAAAACTTTGGGGGAGGTGCGCACTTCATCTTCACTGAATCTTCCGGCGTTGCAGATCTGTTCGAAGAGCTCGCCGCCAGCGGCATACTCCATAACAATCGCAAGATCTGTCGGGGTTAGCACAACCTACAAAACAGTACAAAACTAGATAATTTCAGATAGGACAAAATCTCTAACACAGTTCTAATAAGCTGGATAAAACGATGTATCGATCTGACCTCCTTGAATCGGATGATGTTAGGGTGGCGGAGAGAACGGTGATTGATGATCTCCCGCGCCACATTCTCGTCGATCTGGCGTTTAAAAAAGAACCCATAAGTTCATCGCATTACCAAAATTGATAATTAAATCAGGGTTTTATAAACCAAACCTTCTTGCCTCTTGGAATATACTTCATCGCGACGAGCTCTTTGGTTTCCTTGTGCCGCATCAGCCTCGCCACACCAAAGTTACCAGACCCAATGTCCTTCACCATCTCGTACTTCTCCATCTCTCTTCTCTTTCCTAGTCGTTCTTCTCGCACCTTATAGCAAAATTTGGGACTTAGGGATTTCCCAATTCAGAGTTCTGGGTTTCTAATCCATATCCAGTTTCCAGGAGTTTATTAGCAGAAAGTGTGAGATTTCAGCAAGTCAAGGTTTGGAGAAGCTGACCGGTGCGACCGTCCAGGAATCTAATTGAATCAGGGCGAGGAAGATAGATCGCCGACGGAGTGAGGAGGAAAGGAAGAAGAAGACTCAGGAAAATAGAATTTAAAATTTTTAATTTATTAATGGGACGGCACGTGAGAAGAAGAGTGGGAACTGTGAAGGCGGCAAAGGAAAGTCTGAAGGTGGACGAATTATTAAATGAGGAATTATTGGACGTGGAAATCTAACTAAAATTTTTGTTAAAAATATGTAAAAAAAAAAAATCTTATCATCATATTTTTAATGAAAATAACTTAAAATTATTATATTTATTTTTCTATGAATATAAAATAAAATTTAGTTATTTTTATTTTATTAATTTTGAGATTTATTTTAATTTTATTTTAATTTTAAAATTATATGTATGTAAATCCCCTAAATTTAAATTGGTTTGATAATGCATAATTTATACACTAACAATAACTTTATTTAATGCTAAATAACATTGGAAATCAATATCACAATTTTTCAAACAAAAGGGTAGTTTGTTTCATTATTGATTAGCAAGGAAAAATAGATAATACAACAATAACAAAAAAAACAGGATGCTAGAGCGAGCATCTACCGTTTAAACAGGTATTGGGCGCCGTAGGGAGAGCAAAGCCTCTTTTATATTACTTACTGCATCCTGTAGCGTTGCAAGTGATGCTGCATAAGAGATCCTTATGCACTTATCATCACCAAATGCGTCTCCTGGAACAAGAGCAACCTGCCATGTAACAAGAACTGAATTGTTAGTTCCATAAAATTGAATTACTATGGAGAAATGAAGAGGCTGTACTTCACCTGTGCCTTGTCTAGAAGAAATCTGCAAAGGGATTCTGAGTTGTTGATAATGCCAAATCCTTCTACTTCAGTTCCATAATAAGAGCTTAAATCAACGAAAAGATAGAAAGCACCCTACAAAATATATGTTTTATAAATAATGAAATCAGATATGATAATTATGAGTACCTGAAACATTTACTGACGCCGCCACGACTCATGAACTAATTGTTCATGATCATATGGGCAGACATGAATCTTCCACTTATTGGGCACAAATTGAACGGGCAAAACTATTTCTAATGGGCTAAATCAATTATGTATTCGTAAAAGGAAAGAGTAAGAATGACTATCTCACAGGTGCAACACTTCTCCAGAAAGATTCATAATTTAGAATACAACGATCTGAAATTAAAATGGTGATGTAAGGGCTCATCAACACTATGAAAAATGAAATTGGCCAAAATTTTATGTGTTATGCTATAATGAAAGAAGTTTGGGATGAAAAAAAAAAAAGAGGTCAAATTGGGTAATAAGAATGCAACCGTGTTACTCGAACTCAAAGGTGCGCTCCACAATTTTAGGCAAGGAGATCTATATTGCTCAATATTATAATCTTTATTTTAGGTCCGGTGGAGATGAGGGCCTCCAGTGGTGGTCCGACGGAGCAACGGCATCAAGCGGTGGTCCGGCGGAGGTGAGGGGCCTTAAGTGGCGCTCTAGTGAAGGTTCGGCGGTGGTCCGGCAAAACTCCGGCGATGGTCGAAGAGGAGCTTCTTCCTTCTCTTCTCTTCTTGCTTCGGTCCCCCTTTTCAAGAGGAATGAGAGGTCTATTTTATAGATTTCTAGAGTGGCATGGCCTGTAAATAGGTGAGAGATCAAGGGTAAATGGGGAGTGGTTGGATTGACGGTCGATATTAAACCCCATGATCATGCACCGTTCGTCAGACATTTGAAGGCCTTAATGATGTTGGAATTCTGCGATCTTGTACTCGTTGGATTCTTCTCGTCGAGCTGCTCAATTCGACTATAAGAACGTCATGTTTGGAAACCATTTGGTAATCCAATTTGTGGTTTGAACCCTCCAACAGCGCTTCAAACCCTTGGTTTGGACTCATTTGGGCTCGGATTGAGTCGAATTTTGTGTCATTAGGTTTGTATTTCCGAGATTTAGTTTGACTGTAAGTTTGCTGAAATCGGAGTTCGGATGGTTCCAATTTTAATTTCGGAAGTTTCCAACTTGATTTTGCATCGAGATTCGTGGCCGATCAAGATAATTTTTTAAGAACGTATCACATCTAATAAATTTAGACTTTATAATTCATTAAATATTTCAAGTACGATAAGACATGATTATGATTTTTTTTAGAAAAAATTCTCTAAAGAATAATAAAATATATCAAGATTTTTTATATTTTTAAAAATAATATAGTTTTTTAATTAAACGACAAAACTCAGCAAATAAATATATTTGATATCATTTTATCTTTTTTAAATAAAAAATAAAACTAAAGAAACACATAATAACTTATTTTATTCCTCTTATGTAACATAATCACATGCCTTTGTATTTTCTGGTGTTTCTTATGGAAAGTCAAATGAACATTTTAATATATTATTAAGAAAACAATTGTGAGTAATTAAAAACTCTTTGTAGTCAACATTTTTAATTAATGGGTAGATGAATTTTTTTATTATTATTTCTTATTTTTTTTTATTTTTTCCATAAAATGAAGGCCTTCTGATGGAATTTTTATTTGGTTCGGTGTCCTGAGGTAGCTCTACGTTCGGACGCCAGTTAAATGGTGCCACGTGCCCTTACTCTTTACCGCGCGACCCGACGATCCGACCTGAACCGGACCCGGGATTGATATGTTCGCGTATTGCTAGGTATTGATCAATATTGCTAGGTATTGTTTGATAGTCCTCGACAATAACGAGAAATATCATTCTGTGAAGACCAATACCTAGCAATACCGAGCAATACCCCGTTTTTGCTAGGTATTGCTCGATATTGCTAGGTATTGGTCTTGATATAGTGGTATTTCTCGTTATTGTCAAGCAATACCTATAAACACCGAGCAATATCTAGCAATACGCGGACATAGCAATCCCGGGTTCTGGTCTGGGTTGGGTAATCGGGCCGCGAGGTAAAGAGTAAGAGCACGTGGCGATATGTTATTGGCCTCCGGATGTAGAGCTACGTCCAGTGTCAGAACCTAATAATTATTCCTTCTGATGACCCAATTAGTTAAGTAGAGGTATTAGATTTGACTTATATTAAGAAATGTAAAGATAGACCTAAAAAGACTTGATTAGAAAATATTAGAAATGATATTTCTTTATTAGATTTAAACAAGAATTTGATTTTTAACAGGATACAGTGGAGAAAAAGAATTCTTCTAGCTGGCCTCTCGTAGTGGGACAAAGGCTTGATGCTGTTATTGTTAAAATTGATAGAGGTATCAAAACGGATTGACTGAACAAATTTAAATTTTGCCCAAAATTAATCCGATCATAATCAAATAAATAAAAGCATGAATTTATAATTTAAAAAAAAATGATATGATTGTCAAAATTTTGACCCAAAATAAAATCAAGAGCTATAAAATTATTATTTTAACATTTTTTGTGGTAATAGAAAGTTGGTGGTGGCATAGACAATAACTGAAGTCCATTCTGCAAATATTGGGACCATTTCAGCGTGTCCATTTTATAGATAGATTAATAAAAAATGTGGGCCACATAATCCAAATTCAAAGGGAAATGAACAGAAATATACGAATATTTAATTTTATACAAATCTTGATAGGATCTGTGCATCTTGTACTGTCTTCATCAATAGAGCATCAATTTTGAAGCAAATAATTGTGATATTATTTGTAAAATAATATTTAGAATGTTTCAGAAAGATATTTACTGAACCATTTTTATATTGAACATCTAGGGCTGCAAACGAACCGAGCCGAGTCGAGTATGTGAGTGTTCATGTTTGTGTTCATTTAATATTAGCTTGTTCATGTTTGGTTCATGTTTGTTCGAGCTTTAGCATTTGTGTTCATGTTTGGTTCATTTAAATTAAGGAGTGTTCATGTTCGGTTCATGTTCAGTTCATGTTCGTTCGTTTAGTGTTTATCGAGCTTGTTCACGAACATATTTAACGAATTTTTTTAACTATTAAACAAACACGTTCATGAACATATCTATGAACAAACACATTTATAATAAAAGCAATTGCTTATGTAACAAAGGTAATTATTATTTATATTTATTAATTCTATAGTCAATTATTAGTTATTTTTATCGAGCTTATTCACGAGTTCAAAATCGAACACGAATCGAGCTTCTTATCGAGCTTAATGTCGAGCTTGTTCATGAACTTCAAATGATGTTGTTCGCGAACATAAATGAGCCGAACGCATTAGTGTTCAAGTTTGTTTATTTAAGAATCGAGTATTTAAAATATTATTCAAGTTTGTTTGTTTAGTTAATTAAATGATCGCAAACGAGCTTTAATCGAACCGGACAACGAGTAGCTCGTCGAACGTTTGGTTCGCTTGCAGCCCTATGAACATCCATCTTTTTCAAAGACTTATCAATGACACTTATGTGATGTTTATTTTTTAGTTATTAAATATGTAATATGATAATCTTTTGGGGAAGATTAATTAAATAATTAGGAGAATTTGAATGGAGTTTAATGAGAAGTTGATTGAGAATCAACTAGTGGTGTACTATAAATCCAACTCTTATGCTCTGTGTTTTCTTCGGGGTTATATTATGGTGATATTGGTCTTCACTTTAAATTATTGAGTGGGAGTGAAAAACATCATCTTGGGAAGTCGGGGCGTATGAAATCATATGAATATTACATGAAATCTGAGTCCAACTCTGAAATTCTTCACAAAATCTCGATATTTTTGAAACTTTCTTTGTTGCTAAGTTTGAATCGTCTTCTATGTTTAAAGAGCTTTAGATTTATTATACAATAATTTTCTAAGAAAAGTTTTTAGACCTCTCTCTCTCAAGAAATTATTTTGTGAGATCACTGAACGGTTCAGAGACGAATAAGGATGCGGCACGTCACTCGATATACAGCGAAAAAATGACATGCACTTTCTGATTCGCCAATGTATGTCGTCCGGTGACCGCACATAATAATTTCTTGTCTCTCACACACACACAACCTTTCTTTTTGAATTTTTCTTTGTTGCTCGGTTTGAATGGCCTTCTATGTCCAAAGTGCTTTGAACATATTTATTGTACAATAATTTTCTAAGAAAATTACTCATACCTACTCTCTCTCTCACGGCAAATTATTAGATTTGGTCACCTGATACAAAAATACATCAGGATTTTTCTCTATCTACAATAAAGCGCAGCTACTGTAGCAGCTGCACTTTGACTGTGTTTTTACTGTAAACTGAGAGAAATTCAGATGTATTTCTCTGTCAGGTGACCGGGCCTAATAATTTGCCCTCTCACACACACAAAATCTCTCTTTTTGAATTTTTCTTTGTTACTTGTTTTGAATAGCCCATTATGTTCAAATTTATTGTATAATAATTTTCTAACATTAAGAACCATAATATGGATTGCCCTAAAGATCGTAATAAGTCGTACAATAAGTGACCTAATGATTATGTCACTTTCAAATAATTTCATCATATCATATAAAGACTAAATAATGATTATTAATACAAAGTAAACTAAAAATTACTAAATAAGGTACTTAATTAGGGAAGTTAATTATATTTTTAATTAGATTTAGTATTTATCATAAGGGATGAAGATACTTAGCAATTAATTAATGAGTCGAGTTACTATAACTAAAGATTAATTAATTAATGTAACATTATATTTTTAATAACTAATGGTTAAGATAATTGCTCACCATGGTTAAAAGATTTAATGTGTACAAATTAAAATAAAATAATTGTAGTAACAAATTAATAAAAGAATAATCCACAAATTAATTTATAAACTTTTAGGCTAATAAATTTAAAATAATTAATTATTATACATTAGTTATTGTTAAGACATTTAATGAACATAATTAGAAATTAATTTATCCAACTATTTTCTTATAAAGAAATAACCATCAATATATTAATTGGTATACTTAATGATGAGATAATAACCAACTAAAAATTTACTTAGGACATCAAATTATGATTATTAATTAAACAAATTATGAATTAATTAGTCAAATTAACCTCCTAATTAATTACCAATTTTTTTAGTAGCTCCTACAATGAATGCTAATTGCATTTAAATGTGCTTCAATGTAGGGGTGTCAATTTTGGGCTATTTGTTTGGTTCGGGTCAAATTTGAAACTAACCCAGCACTATTCGGGTCAACTTGAACCCGACCCATTTTTACAAGCAGATTAATTTTTTAGACCCGAACCCGACTAGCTTCAGATCCGGGTCAACCCAACACAATCCGAATGACCCGGGAACCAGGACCGACAAATAATTGCTATTTTTCGGGTTAAAAAACAAGTCAATCTCTAATTTTCCGATCAAAACAGGATCTATGATTTCCAAGTCAAAAATTGGTTCCAAGTCAAAAACGGGTCAATTTCGTATTTCCGTGTCAACCAACCTAGCTTTTGAAATAGATCAATCTATTGAACCCTAACTCGACCCATTTCAAATCAGGGTTGCCCCTAACCTAGAATTTTCAGGTCAGGTTTGTATCGGCTTTCGGGTCGTGTCATATATTAACACCTCTACTTCAATGTGGCACAATTTTTTTTTTTTTTTTTTTTAAAATTTAGATTTTTTTTTTTTTTTTAGAAATTCAGATTTTGATAAAATAATAAGATTTATGATCCTCAAAAAACAATTTGATAGGAATTAAGTTAAATTTTTGCTTGAATGCTGCCAGAAAGGCAGAAATAGGAGATATCAAACATCCCCAAGAGTTTCTTTTGCCTACAATCATTACATAAGGAAAACATATATAAATATTAAATTTGCATAATCGATATCCCATATTACAGAAATTACAATGATGGTTTCTTAGCTGATATGCATTTAGCTGTGTAAAATCACCTCCTCCTCCAGCTGGGAATCACCTGAATTCGGACTAATTACCTCAACAATCCTTCCCTTTCCTTCTCCTGATTGTTCTTCTTTCAAGTTCTTGCTCGTAGTTTCTTCAGTTTCAGTACATTGGTTTTCTTCTATTTTCCTGTCAGAGCTGCCATTCTTGGTGTCCTGAACTAGCTTATCAGATGCTTCGTCGTCCGGTTCAGCTACAGCTTCTTCGACTAACAGCTGGTCGACATCAACAGCAGAGTTATTAACACTTCGGCGTCTTTTGCCATTTTCGTTCCGACCACAGCTTGTCATTACTCCTAATCTTGACTCAGATGATAGCTGCTGCAGAGGAGCTTTTCCCGAGCCTTGTTGCACTTGGCAAAGCTTTGATGTAGTAAGACCACTTGAAGGATGGCTGAACTTTGAGTTAGGAGTATGAGATCCAGTAATGGGGGCGGTGGCGGCCGTGGTGGTGGCAGCAGTTGTTGAAGAAGAGGATATAGTACCGGTAACTGAAGATCCTATAAGAGAAGAGCTGCCGGCGTGTCTTATACGAACAGCATTGACCGACTGCGCTGCTTTGAATAGCGAGGCGGCTGTTAATGGAGTGGCAATTCGTCCGCCGGCAGCAAAGGCGGCGGCTTTGATGAGAGGATTAGGGCAGATGGCAGGTTTCAATTGTGCTGATGGCGGCTTCTTTTGGGCAGTTCGGGGCTTATTTGAGGGGTTTGGGGGTACTTTCTGAGACGAGGTTTCCAGATTGATAGGTTGGTTTGGCTTAAAAGCTTGAGAAGCACAAGCCGGTGATTCATCAAGTGCCCCAGATGTTCCTCCAGCTATTGATGCGGATGAATTGGCTGTCTGCATGTGTGTTCCGCCTGTGATATGTCAAACCCTGTAATTCATTACTTTCTAATTCTAAAGCTGCATAAAAATGTGAAAGAAAAAAAATAAAAAATAAAATAAAACAGAAGCAGAGATTGAAGAAAATAGATACTCTCAGGCTCCGTTTGGGGACAAATTATTAGGTCCTGTCACCGAACCTAAATTTGCGTCCGGATTCCGTGCGCTTTTCATGAGCTTTTACTGCGCTTTCGATGTATTTTTTTGTAAAAGGGCAGATAATACACAAATTTAATTGCATACTAGCTACTTTTTTTGTTGAGTATTTGCAAACATAAAGCAAAAACACAACAAATATCTCACTCATTGAGTATTTGTTGCCCTTTTGCAGCGCTTTTCAAATACTCAGTAAAAGGGCAGCAAAAGGGCAATTAAAATTATGTATTAGCTGCCCTTTTGCAAAAATATATCAAAAGCACAGTAAAAGTGCATGAAAAGCGCATGAATCCAGACGCAAATTTTGGTCCGGTGACCGGACCTAATAATTTGCCTCGTTTGGGACGGCTTTTTTAGTGATTCTTAAAACAACTTTCAAGTAAAAAAATAAATTTTTGTACTAGAAAGCTGCTTTAAGAAACATTACGAAAGCTGTCCCAAACAAAACCTCAACATTGCTTCGGGTTATCATGACTCACATTTGATCAAAATGAATATTGTGCCTATTGAATTTACTTCATGATAAATACAATACAACGCAAATCAATCAAATTATATGGTGTATACTTGCTTCACAACAAATCTAAACTGTAAAAAACCCCGTGTAATCAAATTAATTCAGGATATATTGGCCTAAATTTTCTTTTCATAGGAGAAAAGTTGTAAAAACCTGAAAGTATTGTTGACAAGCTTCCGGACATGGGCATATTTATAGCCATAGAAAATGCCTTCTGTGCTGCCAACATCTCCTCAGACCTTGCCTTGCTGCCATTGCTTTGCTTTGAAGATGTCTGGCGCTTTCGAATGATTGACCATCTCTGGAAAGTAAAACACTTAGCCCTTTGTAACCAACATATAATTAACTAGGAAAAAAATAAACAAGTGGCATGTGAATTGGTTTTATGCATGTTTATTAAGGGGCAGATTATTTTAGGAAGAACCCAACAACATTTTCAAACCCTGTTGCGAAACCAAGAAATTCCTTAAATAGTTTGATGTGTTTACTTTTTACAGTCTCCACAAATGAAAATTATTTATGAACAAAAACTAACAATGAAAAAAAAATGGAAAAAAAAAAAGATAAAAGATGTATAATCTTAGCAGATGAGCAATTATGCATGAAGAAAAGCAATACAAATATATAATAGATATACTTAATTTACTATATTAGAGAGGATCATATAATTCTTGGAGTTAAAACTAGACGGTTAAAATTAAAAAACGTCTTAGATGTATTATGCAAAGAATATCATGTAGTCTTAAAAGATGAATTTCATAAAACTAAATTTAGGCCAAATATTTTATACGAATCAATGTGTTGGACGATAAAAAAATCATTATAGATAAATTAGCCATGAAAGAGATTAAAATCTAAAGAAGGATGCGTGAAAAAACCATAAAGGATGGATAATAAATGATTATTATTAGACAATGTGATTAGTATATATTGAAGAAAAAAGTTTGGTAGAAAGTAAGAAAGTAAGTTTGGGCATATGCAATAGAAGGTAGAATATACGCCAACGAAATAGATAGATGAAATTAATGCTAAATGATTTAGAAGAAAATGCAGGTAACATGAACAGAAGTTAAAAAAAGATTAGTGCAAAACAAGTTTTTGTATCATGTAAGGCTCAACGAGAATGAAACGAGTTTGATGGTTAATAAAACCAACAAAATATAGTTTGGCTAAGGCTGATTCCATGTCGGAAACATTCCTTTGGACCAAAAACGTATTTGGTCATCATACTTAGAGAATGTGAAAATACAAATAGATAGAAGTGAGAAACTTTAGATGGAAAACCCAACAGAAAAAAAAAAAAAATTTGTAGGGTCTAGCCTAGAAGCTGAATTTCCACTTAGAACAAAGTAAGAGTGCAACAATTAGTTATCCTCCAAGAGATGTCAATAAAATATTATCAATAAGAAGATTGGTACAAAGTCTATATTAGCTCATGGAGTGCTAAAATTGTAGATATTGATAAAGGAAAAAATCAAAATGAGTAAGATTACCTCCAAGGATTAATGGTTTCTAGTTACAAGAGGTGACCAACGAAATGTAAGCAACAATGCTCAATCTATTGTCGAAGATGAATGCCATCAAGATGGTTTTGGAGGTATTTGGCCGGCCATTAACGAGAAGGCGGATGCACATAAGGTAGCTAGTTGCCTAGTTGGTCAATAAAAAATATCTGACCTGGCAAAATTTGTAGAAAAGTGTCCACACCGGTAGTGTTTTAGCTCAAACTAGAAATCTGACAAAGAGAGCTTGGAAAAAACAAATTCCAAAGTCTCAATGAACTAACAAGGAGGCCAATTAATAGATTTTTATCATAATCAAGTTAATAATATCTTGATTTTGTTCATGCTTATCCAAAACAAATAGAGTTGATTATCCCCATTCCACCCTAAAACTGATGTATTAAAAGATATTATAGGGCTTTCTTTTGAGTAGATCTAAAGGCTTTCGTTTGAGTAAATCTAAAACTAAATATATTGAGTATAATTTTAGTAATAATAGATCTAGTGGGGGTATTGCAACATTGGCCGATCAAGTCATTAATAAGAGCACACGTTTTAGATATCTTTTAAAACTATGGGAGAGAGTTATGGAGCATAGGTTGCGGCATAACATCAATGTTTCTCAAAATCAATTTGGATTCATGTCATGTAGGTCTAATATGGAAGCTATATATTTACTGAGAGGTTTGAAGGAGAAGTATAGAGAGAATGAGGATCTACATATGTTTTTTATTGATTTAGAGAAAACAAATGATAAAGTTCCAATAGAAGTGCTATGGAGAGTTCTACATAAGAAAGGGGTTAGTAATGCTTATATTCAAGTCATTAAAGATATACATGAGGGAGTTGTTACTTGTGTTCAAACACAAGGTAGTATGACCATGTATTTTCATATTTCAGTTGGATTACATTAAGGATCAGCCTTAAGCCCATATCTTTTTGCTTTAGTCATGGATATTCTCACTAGACATTTGCAAGAGGTTGTACCCTGATGTATGCTTTTTGCTGATGATTTTCTTCTTGTTGATAAGACTAGAGAGGGAGTTGAAGGTAAACTTGAATTATGGATGTCAACCTTAAAGTTTAAAGGCTTTTGTTTGAGCAGATCTAAAACTAAATATATGGAGTGTAATTTTAATAATAATAGATCTAGTGCCTTTGTGCAATCAAGTCATTAATAATAGCACACATTTTAGATATCTTTGGTCTATTGTTCAGAGTGATGGTGAAATAGATGGTGGATATTATTAGTAGAATTCAAGATGGATGGTTGAAGTGGAGGAATGCATCGGGCTTGTTATGTGATAGAAAAGTCCCTCCCAAACTTAAGGGAAAATTCTATAAGATGGTAGTGAGACCTGCAATGCTTTAAGGGATAGAATGTTGGCCATTAAAAGAGAAGCACAATATTAAGTTAAGTGTTGCAGAGATGAGGATGCTCATGTGGATGAGTGGCTTTACTCTTAAAGACATGATACGAAAAGAGCATATACATGAAAAGATTGGAGTAGCTCCAGTGGAAGATAAAATTAGAGAGTCGCCATAGATCGTTTGGTCACATAAAACGGCAGATGTATTAGATTTGACTTATGTTAAGAAAGGTAGAGGTAGACCTAAAAAGACTTTAGAAAATATTAGAAATAACATTTCTTTATTAAATTTAGATGAGAAATTGTAACGGGACACAATGAAGAAAAATGATTCATTTAGCCAAACCCACATAGTGGGATAAAGGCTTGCCGTTGTTGATGGGTCTTTCTTAGGTTGACCTAACAAACCAACCCAAATCCAAGACAAGTGGCACAATGGTGGAGATTCAAGCAATTATAATCACCATCTCTAATCAATAATTTGATGATATGGGCATGTCCACTTTAACGAATTGATCTTGTTAAATCTCAGCCCTTAGTTCCCTCATAGATCCAACGAATACAAATAGAGATACGTGGGAAGCCTTCTAGAAACACATTGAGTACCTTCCATAGCTAGACATTTGATTTAGGAAGGATTTTATTTCAGCAATTATTAATTATTCTATAGTTATGTATTTATTCATTAGACCTCTTGTATATATCTATAAATATGGAGTATATTGTATAATAAAGTTAAACTTTTTCCTCTCCAATTTCCTGAATTCAACACATCTCAATGATAGTTTCAATTCAAAGTTTCATATGTCAAATTGATTGGATCAATGATTATATAGTCATGATTTTTCATGAACCCAACAAGATTTTTGTAATGAAAGGAGATCCAACAATGAAGAAAGTGTATGATATATGTTTGATTTGCTTCAATTTTTTGAAGGTGAGCTTCACGAAAAGGATTCACAGGGGTCAAAGCTTTATTTAGACGGATAGAAGCAACTATATCATTTGTTCCACCTATTGATTGTGGCAAGAATGGATTGATTGTAAATTTCCCCTAATGATGAGGACATTAGTAGGAGATTCCGAAATGTCTACCGCCGGAAGCATTGTAGATCGACGGCTACGATGAGGAGCTTATATATTTGATATTTTATGTATTAGTTCATATTTTCTTTATTTACGTTTGTACCCTTGCTTGTGTGTTGAGTTGAGTGATAACCCTATAGGCATTTTAGTCATTTCTCTTCTTTCTTTATGAGGCCTATATATTAGGTCATTGGTCTTGTATTTGGATTATGATGATGATTTTGATGAATGAAATTTCAGATTTTTACCATTAGATCTCTTTGTGAGTTCTTGAGAGAAGTGATCCCTAAGATAGGGACAAGTATCACCCACCAGCCGCCGGTAGGAGCCGGGACTCGTGGTTAATTTCTTATTTTATTTTTCTCTTCCCTTTCCCCTAGCCCCACCGCCGGCCATCTCCTCTCCTCCTAAGTCGCTGGCCAACTCCACCCTACCCACCACCCGTCGGCCACCCACACCCACTCTCTAGCCCGTCGGCCCATCCCCACCACTTCATTAACCTTCAAGCCGCCACCTTCCCCCCCCAATCCCCTTACCCTTGCCCTCTTGATGATTATTTTAATCATCGTTAACAATTACCTTAATTAGCCCACTTATTTCGGGAGAGAATTTAATCCAATTTGAAATTCAATTTTGGATTTCAATTACTTTCCTAAATTAGCCTTTTCAAATTAAGGAAGTTTTCAATTTGAGTCTAATTTAATATTAAATTAGATTTGAATTATTTATTCTCTTTCCTGAAGTGAACCAAGGAATTATGAAGCATTAATTCCCCTCCCAATTTCCCTCACCCTCATCCATACCGCCGCCATCCCCTTGCTTCACCGCCGGCCACCTCACCCTTGCCCACTTGATGATGATTTTAATCATCATTAACAGTTACCTTAATTAACCCACTTATTTCGGGAGAGAATTTAATCCAATTTGAAATTCAAATTTGGTTTTCAATTACTTTCTTAAATTAGCCTTTTCAAATTAAGAAAGTTTTCAATTTGAGTCTAATTTAATATTAAATTAGATTTGAATTATTTATTATCTTCCCTAAAGTGAACCAAGGAATTAGGAAGTATTAATTCCCCTCCCCCCCCCCAATTTTGAATTAAAAATTTGAATTCTGATCCTTCCCTCCACCGTCAATTAATTCTCTTAACTGATTACCCTCCTTGGTAATTAATTTTAAAGAGGATTTAATAACCTTAATTCCCCTAACACATATTTGAATTTGAATTTGAATTTCAAATTATTTTCCCTTCTCATTTAATTAAATCTGAAAGATTTAATGCTCTTTCCATAACCTCAAACCTAGACCCCACAAACCCTAATTCCCTCCACACATAGCCCCT